ATTCAACTTGGGACAAGCACGACAACTTGGTGGTGGCCAAGAACTTGATCAACTTGCAATCAGCCTGTGACAGGAAACTGGAGGAGCTCGTGCTCCTTGTCAAGGACTTGAGTGTTTCTCAGGCAAGTTTTCAAGCCTTCACACCTCAATCTAACATGTGCAAAGTGGATGATCTACTACGAAGAACTTTGATTCTTTTGCAGGTTTACTGTGCAGCAGATTATTTTCGTTATGAAATAACAAATGGTCATCCAGAAAAATGTGAGCTTTCAAGTATGCATCTGCTTACAAGCACAATGTGTAAGTTACGCATTGATTGCATTGAACCTGTTGAGCTCATAGAGCATGAGATATGTGTGGTTCTAATCCCAGATGGAAAATGGCGTAGAGTTCAAATTGTTTAAGATGTAAAATCCTCAAGGCTACCATGTAGACTTCTTGAATCAGGGGATGTTGTTCCAATATGGCCGAAATCTCATGATATTCTTCAAGTGAGAGCACCTTTATGTTGATCAGGTTTTTGAAGTAGAGAGGAAGGCCAAGTCACTTGGCTGCAACACGTGAAAGGCTTGCCTGAAAACATTTATGCACTTACATATCAAAATCGGAAAAGATTATCTTGGTTAGAATCATTGATGGTGAAATATAGACATTAAAATGATTAAGAAAAACTCATTAAGTGAGATTAAAGAAAAACTTGTTAAAAAAAATAAAAAACAAGTTTCTAAATGAGTTTAACATGTTGGTTTTTAAAAGGACTTCTATTGAGCAAGACATTGAGGATTTGGAAGCACAGGGAGCGGCTGAGGCTCCCAAAACTGGAGGCATGTCCTGTATACGACCAAAGATACAAGGTTTGCTTCCTCTACAAAGCTTTCATGTTCTTCACAAGGATTCACCTTGCAAGCTTTGTTCTAGGATTATAAACGACTTGCAATCAACTGGAAACTGGAGGAGCTCGTGCTCCTTCTCAAGGAGTTGCGTGTTTCTCATACAAAGGCAAGTTTCCAAACCTTCACTCCTCGATCTAACGCATGCAGAGTGGATGATCTACTAGGAAGAACTTTGATGTGTTTGCCGGGAAGGTTGGGGAACTTGCAAAAGCTGGTCTGGCAACGCACAACCCCAAGAACAAGCTTGGGACGTCAACTCCCAAGAAGGTGACGGGTCAATAGTGAATATTCAATAAACAATTAAGATCGCAGTCACATCTCAGCCGTCGGTAGAACGCCATCCCAACCGTCGACAAATAGTCGTTATGAGAAGCTAGGGTTTCTACCCTTTTTATTTTCTCATCTCAAGGAAGCTTGCGCGAGAGGAGAAGCTCTGCGATGGTGCGCCAAGACGTTGAGTTTGAGGACGACGATTGTGCCGAGCTCCTCAAGATCTACACGAGGGGCGAGAGGCTGGGCTGCGGGAGCCAGGGCCAGGTTTTCGTGCTCAAGGGTGCCACGAGCTACGCCGGGAAGATGTTTCGAGCGGGGAGGGACGCCGGGAGAGAGCTCCGGCTCATGTCCAAGCTCCGCGGCTGCGCTGGAGTGGTCTCCTTGGCGGGCTTCGTGAAGGAGAGGAGCGGCGGGGCTTGCTACGGGACCATGGTGATGGAGCTGTGCGGTCCTAGCCTGTTCCATCGATTGATCAAGGGAGGGCCGCTGGACGAGGAGGAGGCCGCCAAGACCATCCAGAGGCTGGCGGAGGCGCTCAAGGGGATACATAGCAGCGGCATCGTCCACCGGGATCTCAAGCCGGAGAACATCTTCGTCAAGCTGGACGCTACTGCCGTGCACGAGGTGGTGATTGGAGACTTCGGCGTGGCCACGGACGACCCCAAGGAGATGTCGCAGTGCTGTGGAACCGGGAAGTATATGGCCCCGGAGGTGACGAGCTGCAAGGGCGACGCAAGGTCGCAGAGCTTTTACACTGCGGCCATCGACGTGTGGGCGCTGGGAGTGATCGCATATGAGCTGCTGAGAGGCTACAAGCAATCCAGGGAAATCGAGTTGCTGCGAGCCGGGGAACTCCCGGATGGTTGTCCTCTCTCAGACGAGGTGGAGGATCTCATCTGCGGGATGCTGGCTGTGGAGCCGAGCGAGAGGTTGACGCTGGATGGTGTGCTGGAGCATCCCTGGATCGTGGAGAATTGCAGCAGTAAGATCAAGAAGACGATTCAAAGCAGGAGGCGCTGTGGAGTGAAGAGGAGTGCTCCCGGTTTTAGTAGCGACTTGGTTGTCAAGAAAGTTAGAGCAGTGTGAGTGTGTTAAATACATGCCACCATCAGCCAACTTGGTGAGCGCCTACTGTTAGTACATGAAGATGATAAGTGTAAACCAGGGTGTAGTTTGACCATAACACAAATTCACGTTATATCATTGATTTTAAAATATTATTTTAAAATCAATGATATAACGTGAATTTGTGTTATGGCTGTTTGCTCGCCCCAAGCCCAGCTCGGAAACGCTCCTGGCTGCTCGTTGCGTGAAGCCTTGGCCACTTTGCATCTGATAGCCACCGAGTAGCGATCCCCAAGCGGGAGAAATGGCATGGCTTGGACGACCTCGCGAGCGAGTTCCAGGTTCAGGATGTCTGTGACTGAATCGTAGTGCTCCCTCAAAGCTGTGATTCCAAAGTCGCCGCTCATGAGCACGAAGTGGCGGAGTCCCTGTTCTAGCTTTCCGCCATGGCTGGACGCAGCCAGAACACTGGAGAAGGATTGCTCGTCCGGAGTGAGTCCCTCGATTGCCATCTTCGCCACCAGATCGAAGCAAGAGCTTAGCTCTCCGGCCTGAGCATTCCCTGCGATCATGGTGTTGTAGGAGACGACGTTCTTCTCGGGAAAACGCTCGAAGAACCGCGCTGCCACTTCTAAGTTGCCGTTTCCAGTGACAGATCCGAGCACTGAGTTCCAGGAGACAAAATTAAAATTCAAATAGTGCGATCTTAAAAACATAATTATAATAAATTTCATAATATCATTTTTAATTAAGATATTATGTATTTTTAATTTTTATTCTTTATTTTAGTAAGTATATTTTTAATTATTCTGGGATATTCTACAATGTTGAGATTAATCTTGTATTTATAATTATAAACATACTTTTAATTTAAAACATTCCTAAACACTTTTTAGTATAGTACATTCAAAGGTTGCTTAAGTTTTATTATTATTAGTCTATTTTACTTATATTCTTCTTGTGTAACTCATATTTTTACTTAGTGTTGTAATCTATACTTCTTACAATATTTTGTATCTAAGATATTCTCATATGTTATTGGGTATTGCGATGTAAATACCTGAAAGCTAAGGCTTGCCGGGCAGTAATTGGATCAGACGCTAGCATCGATTTGACTAACTCCAGGGCATCCTTGTCCTTGATCAAATCATCCAAAGCCCGGAGAAATTTGTTGATCGTCTCCAACACCTCTCCTTTAGCCTCTTTCTCTGGTAGCTCAGGCATTTCCAATGGCAAGAGCATCCCTGCTAGCAATATCCCAGCACTCCATATGTCCACCGCAGTTCCCACTTTCAGGGTTGTTTCTGGGGGATTGTTGCAAAGCCTCCTTGCACAGCTAAAATCGCCCAGCTTCACCTTGAAATTGCATCCTTTGACCTTCACCAGGACGTTATTTTTTGTCATGCCCTGGTGCGCCACCCCACGTTCATGCAGCCAGGCAAGCCCTAAAAGGAGCTGGCGCATTATCTCCTTGATCTTCTCTTCCCTGGTGAAAATCCTCAAACCAAGCTCAGATTCTTTGCCAGCTTTCGAAAGGTCCATTTCTAGGTACTCCAACATGTTACCATCAGTATGCTCGAATACCATGTAGTAATTCCCATCCTTGTCTAGCCCCATGTTAATCACGTCCAAAACGTTTTTGTGTTTGCAATTTACCATGATCTCAAACTCCTTGAGGATTTGCTTGTGAACCTCCTCACCTTTGCCCATATTTTTTATCACTACTCTCTCGCCCAGATCATCATATCCATGCGCCACCACAGAGCTTTCGTCATAGCCAGACGCATAGTTATATCTGCCCAACACTTTCATTTCTCAAGCTATGGAGAAACCCTATGGAGAAACACTCTCTTTTATAGTCGCAGTAAAGGTGAATCGAAAAAGGGTGACCATCGAAAATTTAGGTTTAGGGTTTAGGGCATTTTCTCCGAGAAATGAAAGTGTATACAATAATCTGGGCCAGACATTAGTGTTAAGAAATATGGGTAAAGGCGAGAAGGTTCACAAGCAAATATTTACACTTTTTTAGACAAAACCTTTTTTATGTTTAAGTTTGTTCTAATTCTTTAGAAATAAAAATGACAGTAGTAGTGTTTCCAAAATTAAAAGCTTGAGATCATGGTATGTTGCAAACAACATGGGGCATGGAATTATGACAAAAGCTCCTTCACTTTTCTCTTCTTCAACCTCTTCAGTCAGCATCATCATCGAATCCTGTCCAGAAAATAAACATATCATCAGGAAGAACAGAAAAGAAAAAAGAGGAGAGCTACAGAAAAAGATGGTTACCTCCAAGTGATTTAAGTTATGGTTCACGGAGGATTCCTGCGAGGCCTTTGTTGTTATTGCTGGCGTGGTGGTCGCAAAGTAATCATCGTCATCCTCGACATTGGCCCAAGACTTGACGGTAGCCAGACTTGGCACCCAAAACTGGCCAGCGTCCTCCTCTGGCTGCTTTGCAATGCATGCTTGTCCGACTTCTTCTTGCTGGATTTTCGCTCAAGTGCAGAGAAAATGTTTGCGGTGCTTACAGCAGGCAATCCATTGCCTTTCCTGTATCCACCTCCAAACATTCTAGAACAATTGCCCTCTTCGGAGAAGCCTCACACCCTCGATCTGGATATAAAAGAGAAGAACAAAAAACCATTAATTCTGGTACTCGAAAAAATTCGGGTAGAAAGCACACAGCAGATTCTCCCTTGGCGAGCACACAATTCCTACAGTAGAAATCAAGATTTCTAGCACGAAATCGAGACTTCCCGCGCGTAGTTGAAATGAGCATATTCTAAGGATTTACTTTACTGCAAAATTGTTACGCCCTGCCCTAAGAGAATATACTCGGCATTTATATCATCTTTAGGGTTCCTTCTCCCCTGCTAACAATCGCCCGCAGGGCCTGGAGTTTCTGGAGCAATTGCGCGAAATTCGCGTGGCTGATTCGAACGATCTCGGCTGCCGCGGCCAGGCTCGTGCATAGCTGAGATTTCCCACACGACCCACATGAGAAATTGGGGAGGAATCGACCGATGGAGGCGACCCACCTTCTGGTTGAGCGAGGTCCAAGCGTAGCCGGGGCGCTCCAATGCGGCATTGAGATCGCGGCAGGTCTCCTGGATTTCCTGCAACGGTGGTATTCCTGAGCACTGATCGAGGGATTGAAAGAAAGAGGAAGCACCTCTACGAGATCGAGATCCTGAGGGAGATGATCATCTTGTTGCGTTGCTGATGGGCGATCCAACCAGGGGAAATTCGGTGAAGCTTGGTCTTTGTTGAGATCATGGATGAGATCGTCGAGAGCGAGAAGAGGCCCTCCCGAGGCCATGATAGAAAAGAAACTTAGGGCTCTTGTTGGTTCATAAGAACAGTACCTCTACTCTAGTAGAGACACCAAAGTTCGATCACAGCCCTATGGAAAAACGAGAAGAAGATCATCACTAAGCAATTCAACATCTCGCAAAAAGGAAAAGAATGGATTTCTCCGAGGAGAAAGAGAAAGGAAGAAGAAATGAAAACCAGCTATGGTGGATGAAGAACAAAAGGAGGAATGCAAACCTTGCTCGCAGCATCAAGACGAACTTGAGCTTCTCCAGGAAGAACCTCTTCTTGGTTCGCTTGACACGCTCCTTCTCCGCCTGGTGCCGCTGCTCCGACGGCTTTACGTAGTACTAGATCATTGAGCTTAGTGTCTTGTCCTGTCGCAACTTCCGGCCATAGCGCGCCACGGCTTGCTCGAAATTCAGCCCCTTGCAATCGATATACACGCCGCGCACCTGTTGCTGCCCTCGATCCATCCAAATCAGAGCGCTGCGATGCGAGAGAAACGAAAAGGAATACAAAATGGGTGCTTGAGAACCGCGCCTGCATTGCCGCTTCTGTGGAGGCAATGCTGGAGCCTGGACTTCGCGAGCGCCTTGAATCCACGGCCAGGCCTCGCATTTCCAGCGGCAGATCCCAATCCCCGCCATGACAGGCAGAAAACCCGAGGCAAGCTTTGCTCGCTCGATCGATTCACGGGAAATGGGGTGTGGACTGGCAGTGGCACCGCTTTACTTGGTGAGAGTTGGTCTTTCATTTAGAAGTAGAACGAGAAGAAAAGGATGCATCATCTTTGTCATCCAGCATGGTCAAGTTCTCCAAGCAGCTCGATCGGCCTACTCGATGAATGCCAAGCGCAGCACCTTCTCTGCAGAGTGAACCTTTTTCTTGGTCGCGTGGCTGCCACTAATCATCATGGCCTTGGATTGCTCAAGAGTTTCAGGTTATTCCAAATTAGTCTGTGTAAGATCCTTTCGTGCTTATTCCATCTGATTACAGCTCTTTGAACGTGGTGGCATTCGCAAAGATCTTGAAAAAATATGTCAGGGTGAAAATCTGTGAGGACTCGAGAGAAAGCTCTGAAAGTTTTTTATTTTAGGTGACTGGCAGGAAAGCAATGCCGATTTATTTGCGAAAGCTCGTACTTTAGCAGCTCTGACAGGGTGAGCCACCTTTGTTGTTTTGAAACTTTTTGTTTGCATATTTCCGAGTAGGCCTGGAAAAAGTGGAGAAGCTTTTCATACGACGTATGTATGGCGGCGGGAAGTATGGGGCGAACAGGCACTCGGGCGTGCAGCGCCGCCGGCGGTTTCGCAAGCTTCTCAGGCAGAGCTGGTGCCCGACTTCTCGTGGTGGTGGTGGTGATTTTGGAGATGGGAGGAGAGATTTTGGTGGTGCTGCTGCTCTGACATTTTTTATTTATTTTTCCTTCATCCGACTCCCAGCATTTCGCACAACCAGCTTTCTGCAGCTTCAGTTGAAACATCAGTTGATTGGCCACTGAACAATAACCGTTTCAAAGCCTTAGCATGAGAATGGCAACGCTCCAAAACTGACTTTAATTTCATTTTATGAAATAATAAAATTACTTTGCTCGTCCTAGTAGCAGTCATGGAAGAGTTTAGTGATATATCAATGTATTCTGGCTCTTCATTTCATTATACAACTTAACATATCCACAAAGAAATTTAGCCCTACTTCTTCATGCATAAGTGTATAGTTTGGTTACAAAAGAATGTGTGAATGATTTCTTAGTAGATTGTTTGGTATGCTCTATTTACACATTGCAACTAAATTTTTATTGACTTTATCTTTACAATTTTTAATTGCTTTTCTTTTCACTTCCTCTTTACGCATTATTTCTTGAGTTCCAACTGCTGGAAAACTAATTTCAAACTTATCTTCTCTACATTTGTTGATCCTAGAGCTCTTCCATTGTTAATATGTGCTATAGACTCATTAAATTCCTCATCATTCAAGGATGCTTTTTCACTTTTTACAAAGACAGTTTTTTCTCAAGGTCTATGTTGAACAAATGAAAGATGAATCTCTTAAATTCGTCACTCACTCTTATCGTTGCTTCATGCTTGCTAAGCCTTTCTTGTTTGAGCAACATATCGTTAAGCAAATATTGGCATAACTCCATGGTACTAATGCTTGTCCTTAAAAGCCTCCACAAACATATGTTTATGGCTTCATTGCCTCTTTTAGTTTTGCACTTTGGAAGATTATTTGATCTATGATGTAGGCTATGCATCTTTGAGAGATGGGCTAGTGCCTTGATCTCTGCCTCAGCCTCCCCTCGTAGGCCTCTATCCGGGAGTGTGTTATCAATGATTAAGTCCCCAGTTGGGTAATCCCTCACTCAAAGATTAAGTCCTTAGCTAAATAATCCCTCACTGAAATCAACTTGCATGTGAAAAATTCACCATCCACCTTGCACTTAATTTTGTACATTAACCGCTTAGCCACCATGACCCAGCTCCTCCAAGATAATGTAAAAACTATTTACATCACTCTCCATCATCACTACTTCCTGTCCTCTCATACCAATATGCCCTAGCAAAAAGATTTCGAAAATACTTTTAAAATAAAAATACTTCTAGACCTTTAACTAAAAGATAAAACAAACCAGAAGTTGGCGGGGAACCCATGCTTCCCCAAAATAGACCGTGCTGTCGTTAAGAGAGGGCTTGTGATTCACGTGAAGGTTGTGGAGAACGAGCTGCGTGATGCAGTAGCCTCTCATCTCCACAACCTTGTGTTGCCTCGCAGACAATCCATCTCTGATCACCTATGGAACTTCCACGAGCTCGTTTGTTACCAGAGTTCAGTCCTCGCAATCGAGGATCTGTTGTGTAAACGCTCTCATCTTCGGCTATGCCGAGAGTGGCGATGTGAGGCTGGCGGTGGAGCTCGACGCTCTAACTTTCGCCGAGGTGCTCAAAGCCTGTGGAAGCCTAGGGGACCTGGAAACTGGGAGGAAGATCCATGCCGAGGAGATTGGATCACTCCAGAGGGACGATCCCGTCCTTGGGAGCTCTCTCGTCAGCTTCTATGGCAAGTGGGGGAGCGTGGACGAAGCTCGCCAAGTCTTCCACTCCATGGATCGAGGCAGCAAGGATCTGGGACTTGGAACTCGCTGCTCAGCCACGCGGGAGACACGAGCAGCGTGTTAGATCTCCTCGAGCAAATGCTGCGCTCGGCGTGGCCATGGACGACCCCAGGGAGATGTCGCAGTGCTGTGGAACCGGGAAGCATATGGCCCCGGAGGTGACGAGCCAGGGACTCCGCCACTTCGTGCTCATGAGCGGCGACTTTGGAATCACAGCTTTGAGGGAGCACTACGATTCGGTCACAGACATCCTGGGACGGGCCGGGAACCTGGAACTCGCTCGCGAGGTCGTCCAAGCCATGCCATTTCTCCCGGATCTTCTGGCTTGGGGATCGCTACTCGGTGGCTACCAGATGCAAAGTGAGTGTGTTAAATACATGCCTCCATCAGCCAACTTGGTGAGCGCCTACTGTTAGTACATGAAGAGATAAATGTAAACCAGGGTGTAGTTTGATCATACGGATCATACAATGATATAACGTGAATTTGTCTACCACTTGGTATGGTTGTTTGCTCGCCCCAAGCCCAGCTCGAAAACGCTCCTGGCTGCTCGTTGCGTGAGGCCTTGGCCACTTTGCATCTGGTAGCCACCGAGTAGCGATCCCCAAGCCAGAAGATCCGGGAGAAATGGCATGGCTTGGACGACCTCGCGAGCGAGTTCCAGGTTCCCGGCCCGTCCCAGGATGTCTGTGACTGAATCGTAGTGCTCCCTCAAAGCTGTGATTCCAAAGTCGCCGCTCATGAGCACGAAGTGGCGGAGTCCCTGTTCTAGCTTTCCGCCATGGCTGGACGCAGCGAGAACACTGGAGAAGGATTGCTCGTCCGGAGTGAGTCCCTCGATTGCCATGCTCGCCACCAGATCGAAGCAAGAGCTTAGCTCTCCGGCCTGAGCATTCCCCGCGATCATGGTGTTGTAGGAGACGACGTTCTTCTCGGGAAAACGCTTGAAGAACCGCGCTGCCGCTTCTAAGTTGCCGTTTCCAGTGACAGATCCGAGCAGTGAGTTCCAGGAGACAATGCTGCGAGCTGGCATCGTGTAGAAAATCTCCTGGGCCTCCAAAAGTTTCCCGTGATGAACACCGTAGCCAGCCAGCATTGTGTTCCAGGATATCTCGTCTCTCTCGGGCATTGTTTCAAACACCACCTTGGCTTGCTCGAGTTCGCGAGCTTGAAAGCAAGCTCCCAGCATGAGGTTCCAGGACACGAGGCTCCTTTCCGGCATCTCGTCGAAAACTTTCCTGGACTCAAGTAACTTGTCGCCACCATTTCCCTGTGAGACTTGAGTAGCCAGCATGACAGTCCATGCAGCAGCATTCTTCCCCGGCATTCTCGTGAAAACTTCTCTGGCTTCTTCGGCTTGGCCTGCTCGAGCATACCCGACCATCAAAACTGTCCATGGTTCTATAAACTCGTTCGTCGCAGGCATACTTCTGTCCATGATGGCTCTAGCCTCTTCCAATCTCCCGGCATCAACGTAAGCTTGGATCATAGCGTTCCAGGACACCACGTCGTACTTTGGCATTGCTTCAAACATCTTCCTTGCTTCTTCCACCATTCCCTGGCGACCAAATGCCGAAACCATGCTCGTCCAAGAAGTCACGTCCTTGTGAGGCATCTCGTCAAAGAGAGCTTTAGCTTCTGTCCATAGATGGTTCTCCAGGAAACCTTGGATCATCGTGTTCCAAGCCACTACGTCTCGCTCCACCATACCTTGAAATACTTTTGTGGCCTCCTCCATCTCTCCGTTAAGACCGCAGGCTAAAATCATCGCGGTGCATGACACCGCATTGCACAGACGCATTCGGTAGAACACAGCCTTTGCCTCTCGGATCAATCCCTTTCGGATGTAAGCCTGGAGAAAAATGTTCCAAGTTACAATCCCAGCTTCTGGAATCTCGTCAAACATTCTTACCACTTCTCCGAGAAGTCCATGACGAGCACAGATGAGCATCAGCGCATTCCAAGAAAACGCACTGTGCTCTGGCATGGAGTCAAACATCCTCTTTGCTTCGTAAACTTGAAAGCTCTGAGAGAAAGCTGGAAGAAGAGCATTGTAAGAAACCACATTCCTTTGAGGCATTTGATGAAAGAGTACCTTAGCGTGTTCTAGATCTCCATTCTGGGCATAAACTCCAACCATACACGTCCATGAGACAATGTCGGGATCGGGCATGGCCAGAAAAATCTCCGTCGCTTTGCCGATATCACGGTCACTAGCATAAGCTTGTATCATCGTGTTCCAAGAGACGACGTCTCTCTCGGGCATTGAATCAAAGACCCCACGAGCTCGATCCAATCGCCTCTGGAGGGCAAACCCCAGCAACAGCGAATTCCAAGCGACTAGATTCCGCAGCGGCATGCCGCAGAAGATCCCCTCGGCTTCAACTGCCAGGAAATTCTCCGAGAACACGGCGATCATCGTGTTCCAGGAGAACAGATTGGGACTGCCGATCCCTTGGAACGCCGCAAGGGCCTCCTCCACGCTACCGCATTTCCCATACGCGTCGATGATGAGATTGGCCAAGTACCTGCTGTGCCTGTGCTCGCTCGCGGTGATCGCGCCATGGATCTGGCGCAGCTGGGCGAGATTCTTGGCCCGCCCAAGAACCCTAATTCTCGACGCCCAGCCTTCTTCTGTTTGAAATCCATTTCCCGCCAAACACATTAAGGGTTTAGGGTTTTTTCAAGGCGAAAATATCTCGAGCACTGCCAAAATATCTAGTCTACAGGGATATGCCGTCCCAGATCAAGCGCTGTCCACTTGGCGCGCTACTGGCCGCCCGATCAATGAGGATTTTTCTAAAACCTCTCGGCTATGGTGGAGCTAGGGCTTTAGTGCCTGGCATTCTCGGAATGGTGCTCTGGCGAAGGGTTTCTTAGCAGCGGAGCGATTTTCCGGCACGCGAGCGCGATGAGGCAGGTCTTTGCGGTCGATGGAGGTAGGAGCTGCCGCATAGAATGTAGGAATCTCGACAGGAAGCGCTCCAGGAGCGACAAGGATAGGGAATCCTCTCGGCATGGGGGCTACTCGTCAATGCCGTGGGAGGACGAGGAGGATGAGCTTGGCTGGGACGAGGAGGATGAGTTGGAGTTTCAATCTTTCCAGAAATCCCTTGGCAACCGCTCCGTGTCATGGACAGGCGGTGGCATGACGATTCGTGCTCGAAATTCCAACGCCAGATCCCACCCTGAGAATGGCAGGGAGAGCTACCAGGATGGCTATGGCAGGGATTCTTTTTCTTCTTGGGAGCGGAAGCAGCTGCCACGGTATGATCCATACGACCTCTGGGACTCGGAGGAGGATTCTTCTCCCAAAATTTATGACAATTTTGAGGATGATTATCTGCGAGCAAGAACTCACAAAAGAGAAGACTACAGATATGACGATCTCGGTGGACGACCAATGCCACCACCACGGTAAGCTCTCTTTTATAACTCTGGCTTCGTAAGTTCTTCTCGTGTCCTCCAGCTCTCTGGGCGGCATTTCCGCGCGACGCCATTATTCTGGTCGAGGTAAGTAGATTTTTATTTTTTATTTTCTCTCTCACAGCTTGAAGTTCCTTGTTGCAGAGTCTCCGGACTTTTACCCTCCTGCAAAGGTCAGTGCAACTTGAGCTTTGTAAAGAAAATGTACCTCTCTTTTAACTACTTTTCTTTACAGGATTACCAGCGCGAGGATTACCAGCGCGTGAGAGAGAGACAAAGATCGCCGGACAGGGAGCCTTATGACTACTATGCTAGTAGTTGGAGAGATCATCACGATGGCAGAAAAGATGCTGAATTACTTGCGGCAAAAGCCCGTGCGAGAAGTGAGGAGGACTTGCCTCCCGGTTTTGAACGTAAGCCTGAGAGCAAACGATCTCCGAGCCCAGGACGACATGACGAACGAGACCGGAGGTCATGCTTCAACTGTGGTAAAGTTGGGCATCTGAGCGCCCAGTGCCCGCTGAAGACCGAGAGAGGGGAACGATCGCCAAAACGTTTGAGGCCGTCCGAGGATGACAGGAAGAGAGGCCGTGGGAAGCAGTGCTACAACTGCGGTGAAGAAGGCCACAAGAGCAGAGTTTGCCCAAGGAAAGTCAGTGTTTCTGTAACCAACAAGGAAGATGGTGGAAGACGTGCGGATGAGAAGCGATGCTTCAATTGCCACGAGAGTGGTCACCTTCTCTTCGAGTGCCCGATGTTTTCAGATGGTGATGCCCCTCGAAACGAAAGCGCTCGATCGGCTGCGGATAATGCCTGTGTTCTGTACAAGACGAAACTTACTGACGCGGAGAAAAACCAGTACCTCAGGCAGAACAAATGCTTTACGTGCGGCAAGTCGGGCCATCCATACTATAGCTGCCCCCAGTCCGAGAAGCGACTGGAGTATGTTTTCGAGGACCGCGAGCACAAGTCTGCCTTGAAGGTACCATTTTCTTTCCTTCACTTGATTATGGACGGCCTCATCATCCGATGGTTACAGCTGCTGAAGAGTGCCTGTTGGAATTACTGGGATGATAACGGGGAAATGCATGGCCCAGTTTCGCTCTCATTTATGTCAACCCGACTTCAAGAGGGCATTATGGACAAGAATGTACTGGTATGGCTAGACTGACTCTTCGGTATTGGGGTCTAACACGTTGAATTCGTGTCAGGTTCGTCACATGTATGAACACATCAAACCAATCCCTCTCGAGACACTTTTAAAATTTTCGAAAAGCAAAACGGTGCTTTCGCTGTTAGGATGCATGCCGGAGTCGGCATCATTCCTCGGCGAGGAGATGGACGCCCAGAGCTGCGTGGATAAGTCTCTATCGGCCTTCCAGAACAAGCTTCATTTCGACATCTATGAAACTACGGTTCGGTGGTTTTTTATCAGCAGTATGAACGAGGCATTGCAGACTTATAAAACAGCGAGAAAGTATTGGGGGAAACAAGTTTCCCAAACCGCGGAGGTAAGTCCATCCGTTTTAATTTTCTGCTGCTGTTCACACTCAACAGCTTCGTTGTTCAGGACTATTCTGATCCTGATGGTAGCGGACCACCTCATAGCTCAGATTGCGAGCTCTCCTCTCCCGATGGTGTTCAAGGGTCGAAAGAAATGGTACATGCTACGTCGTTTCTTGTTATGTGTTTTTAATTCACGCCTTCGTTTTACAGGAAGGACATTCACAGAAGTCAGCAATGTTGGTGGAGTGTTGTGAGAAGTATGTTACCGACTCGACATTGGAAGATCCTATGTCCAACTCACTGGCGGCAATTCAGAAGTGCATTCATTCCGGAGTGCTTGAAGCAGCACGAGGAGGTATCGTAGACGCCATTGTGGGAGAGTATCTGCACACGTGGGACATCGAACGAAAAGCGAAAGCGAGCCAGAAGGAGCCGGTGATAGAGGTGATTGAGACCACGTCAGTTATAGAGGATTGGACCTACGAGAAAGCTGGTCGAAAGGAGAAAGCTATAGACGGAGAGGACACGTCGGAGATGGAAAGCTCCCCTTGCGTGAGGAAGAACAAAGACAGGAAGGAGCAAACGGTTGAAGTCATAGACAGCACGCCAGCAATGGAGACTTCTCTGGTATCTTGGAGGATCAACAGGTTGAAGGAAAGAGCCGAAAGAGCGGTAGAGAGCGCGGCAGCAATGGCCACCTGGACCAAGGAACCACAAGAAGAAAACTTGACATCGATGCCCAATTCACCGGTGGTAGAGATTATCTCTGAAGACAGCAAGCACGAGCACAGCGAAGATAGTAAAGCTACCGCAGACTCGTCTCCTACGCCTGTCGGAACGAACAAAACTACCGTTTTCAAGCGTCTCAAGAGGAACTGTCCTTCGAAAGCCGTAGAAGAGCCCACCGTTCCTGCTCCAGATGCAGTCGATCTCGACTTTTTCATGCCTTACGAGAAGAAGAGAAAAGTTCCTGAACCAAGAGGCGGTCCTTTGAAAGTTGTCATCAAAAGCTTGAACAGGTCCACTGGTGATAAAAAAACTGAGGTCAGCGTGCCAACTCCAGCTCCAGTTCTAGCGAATGAGAAAACTACGATCTTAGTCGACGAGAAGAAGAAAACAATGGCTGAACCGAGGAGCTGCCCTCTGAAGGTTGTTATCAAGAACTCGAGAAAGACCAGCATTCCAGCTCCAGCTAAACTCGACTCCATTCAGAAGAAAAAAGTCGCTGAACCGTTGAAGGCTGTAAAGGAGAGCATTCCAGCTTCAGCTCCAGCCAATTCTGTTCAGAAGAAAAAAGTCGCTGAACCGTTGAAGGTGGTAAAAGAGACCATTCCTCCAGCTCCAACCAATCTCGACTCTGTTCAGAAGAAAAAAGTCGCTGAACCGGTGAAGGTGGTGAAAGAGATCATTCCTCCGACTCCAGCTTCAGTTCCGGCTGAGAAGAAGAACACCGTCTCTGGAAGTGAACCTCCGCAGCTGGTACTAAAAGTTTTCCGCAAGACAAAGAAGCCAAATGACACTACTAAGGTGACAGCGATTCCGTTGGAAACAGACAAGGCCGTGGCAAAGAAACGAACGCTGAAGCTCACGGAGCTCACCGATGCAAAAGGTACGTCTTGTCTCTTTTGATTCATTTCGTTTCATTGTTTTCTCTGACTGGATGGTCAGTTTAGCTTCCGAATCGGAGACAAAGCTCGCTACTATCAAGGAACAGACTGATGAATCTAGTGATTCTACACTCAGCGAAGAAGAAGAAGAAAACGAAGGCTCTCCGCTAAAATCGTTGAGTTCCAAGCGGCCTGTACCAGCTATATTGTTGCAGCAGGACGAGGCTAGACAACCGCAACTTCCAGGCTGTGCACGAAGCTCACTGCCTGGATCAGAGTGGAAGCTATGGAAGACCAGCTACGAGAGTTACTGTTGCATCGATCGCAAGCAATCCAGGGCCAAGGAGAGAGCTGGGACTTTACCGTCGGCACGATCGAACAGAGCTGGGGTTCGCAAGCTCGGCGGCTCAAGAGCTATGGAGAAGATGAGAGCACGCAAAAAGTTGCTAAAGTTCCAGCGCAGCAAGATACACGCATGGGGAGTGGTGGCTATGGAGTTCATTGAGCCTGAAGACTTCATTGTCGAGTACGTTGGAGAAGTTCTTCGTCCAAAGGTAATACCGTTCCTTTTTTCTTCGTTCTTTTCTCCAAAACTTATGGTTCTTCTTTTTTTTTCTTAAGGTGGCAGACGTTCGAGAAGTTCGATATTTAAGGCAGGGACTTGGTAGCAGCTATTTTTTCCGCGTTGGCGATGGCTTTGTGGTAAATCAGTTTCTTACACCCCAGATCTGGGACTAAAATCTTGGTGTGTTTGATCGTATAGATTGATGCCACCCAGCGCGGAGGACTCGGAAGGTTTATAAATCACTCCTGCGAGGTGAGTTTCCAAAGTCTTTGTAACAACAACGTTCTCATCTTAAAACACCAGCCAAACTGCTATGCCAAGATCATCACAGTAGAGGGACAGAAACGTGTTTTTATTTACGCAAGAACACACATTGCTCCCGGGACCGAGCTTACATACGACTACAAATTTCCTCACGAGGATCAGAAGATCCCCTGCCTCTGCGGAGCTGAAAGGTAATCAAATTTTAGAATACTTCCACTTGGATCATATCCTCGAGAAGGCTGACTTGACGCTTTGGGGTTACAAATGCCAGGTGCCGGGGATTTCTAAACTAGCTTAGCCGTGTCGAGACGTGGCATTTCCCCGCAAAACACTCGAATCGTGAGAGAGGGATCTCCCCTACAGTCAGCGATGTACCGGACGAGCAAAAGAATCTCTACCTGAAGAAGAACTTCCACACTTCCCGCGTGCTCGAATAGCCATCGGGAAACTCTGCGACGAGATGAGCGCCTAGAATGCCTGTCACAGCAAGAGCTTTCTTTCAGCCATGGAACCAAGCGATCGATCAAAGCAAAGAGCCTTACCATCGTCTTCGACCATGTTCTTGAACTGCCGGCTGCCACCGCCACGTCCAAAGTAGTGCTTCTTCGCCGCTACGTACACGACACCGTAGTAAGGCCTGAGGCACTGCAACAAAAGCCGACGGGGTCAAACAGTGGACAGTGGAAAACAAATAGAAAAAACAGACAAAGATAAGGACGGAGAAAACCAAGGAAGGGACAGCAAAGAGAAGAACACAGTACCTTTTTGAGCAGGGTGTAAAGCTTGGAGAGAGACGAGGAGCTGTAAATGGTGTCGGACATGAGGATGATGTCGTAGCCATCCTCTTGGTAGCCGCTGCATTCTCGACTGCTCTCGAAAGCCCGGCTCCCGTTCGAGCGCCTCCTGGAGCGTCCACCATTCTCGGTTGGCGTCGATGGCCGCGAAGGCTCCCTGTCGCCCACCGGAGTCGACGGAGTCGATGGCCTCGAGTGCTCGCCGAGCGGCGTCGATGGCCGGGACGAGTAGTCGAAGCTGAATCCAAAGTCGACGTTGGTGTCGTTGTCCAAGTCGGGCGGACTGGCCTGGGAGAGGAGGTTCTGGACGTCGGCCCAGTCGCCGGAGAAGTAGCGGAGGTCGGGCGACACGGCCATGCTCCTCGTCGGGGTGAGCGAGCCATTGTGGCGAGAGATTCGTGCGCGGGCATAGTCCAGATTAGCTGACACGTTTGGGATCGTCAGCCGCTTGACAACTTCGATGTTGAAGTCCTGGAAGTGGACTGTGGAGGCACCCTGGAAGACAAACGAGTGTTACACTTGGCTAGAGTCAAGATGCCGGGCACGTATTTCTTCTAGCCTACCTTGATGCAAGCGAACACGCCTGGAAGTCCATGCCCGCAACCGAGCTGGTGGTGGCCAATTCAAACAAAGCATAAGATAACTTAATAGAAACGAAAGAGTTGATCAAGTCGACCACGCACCTCAAGCACCCGCTTTCCTCGAAACGAGAGCTGCCCGTCTTGGATCTCACGTCGCAGCGTGTCGACGAGATCGGTGGCGCATTCCGAGAGCTTCAATCCTCCTGGAGAAGAGAGAAGAGAAAAGTCGTTAGCAATGCCCACTTGATCATACGAATCGGAAAGCAACAGCTTACCTTCGTACGTCCCAGGAACTAGATCAGCGCTGGGGATGCCGGCAACATCGCTGTTAGTGATCCGGCCCTGGAAGAAAGAAGAAATGGAGACAACCAGATGATCCTGTCAGAGCTCTTTCTTAAAGCGACAAAACATAACTAGAGATTTTTTTCTCTTGTTTAGTACTACTCGACCGACCTTGAGAAGGATAATCCCTCCGGGCAACGACACCGGCTCTGTGGCAAACAATTTGGCATGCGTGTCCTGCGAAACAATGCCAGATAGAAGCTCTCAATCCATCCATTCCATCCATCCATCCATCCAAGAAAATCCCAAAAATATTTCGAAATCCGCGAGAAAGAGCGAGAGATTCTACCTCTGTGGGGATGATTTCCTCCGCGGGAGGCGCCGGAGGAAGATCCGAGAAGCCCAGCCGCGCGGGATTGCTCTGGAGCAGGCAATGGCCGGGGAGATTGTAGAGGCAGGAGAATATCGACGGCGCTTTCATCGCTCGCGTCCCTGCCGCGGCGCCTAGCTATGGCGCTCCTCCTTCCTTGCCCTGTTGTTGCTGGATCCTAGCGCGGCCCTGCCGGAAAAATGTGGAAAATGCGCGGCGGCCTTGCCTTGAAGAGTCAGAGCGTCGATGCGTTGCACGTGTGCGCGCTCCTCGCGATTTCCCTCCCCTTCGTCGTCACGATCAAGCAACGAGGAGAGAAAGAGAAGCCCTCCGCGAAGCTGCTAGCAAAGAGCCATGGCTATGGCGGCGGAATATCCCGCGGCATATTCCGCCGGCAAGTGACATCGTCAGACACGTGGCAGCACGACGTGCCGTGGATCTGACCGGCCTCTGCCGGCTGACTCTCCGGCATCTGGTAGGGAAATTTTAGGGTTCTTGGAGTCGAAATTTTAGGGTTTTTGGATCGATCCATGTAGCTCGACGCGGCCAGGGCGCCATGGAAGGGGAAGAGATCCACGCGTATGTTCTTCGAGGATGTGGCGCGGCTGTTGCGATCGTGCACAGCGCTCGATCAAGCGCGCCGGATTCAAAGGATCGTTGCGGCCGTGGAGCCCGGGAATATGTTTCTGGGCAATCTCGTGGTGCGAATGTATGGGCGGTGTGGGAGCCCGGAGGAGGCGCGGCGGGCGTTCGAGGGCATCGCGCGCCGCAATGCCTTCTCCTGGGGCATTTTGATGGCAGCGTATGCGCAGAATGGGCAATTGCGAGAATCCGAGGCTGTGTTTCACAGGATGCCGGAGAGGGATGTGATCGCTTGGAATTCGATGATCACGGGATACTCTCAGGCCGGATTCGTCGCGAGATCTAGAGCTCTTTTCCTCCAAATGCCCGAGAGGAATCTCATCTCTTGGAACGCGATGGCGGCAGCGTATGCCCAGAATGGGCATATTGACGAAGCGCAAGAAATCTTTCACAGGGCTCCTTCTCGCGACATCGTGACTTGGAACACCATCGCGGCGGCGCTCGCGCAGCTCGGATCCAGCGCCCAATCGCGCGAATTCTTCGATGCGATGCCAGAGAGGAACGAAATCTCCTGGTCGTGTACCATCCAATCCATCGCCCAGGCCGGGAATTCGCACGACGCGCGCGCGCTGCTCGATCGAATGCCGTGGTGGAGCGTCTTCGCCCTAAACGCCCTAATCGCCGCGAGCGCCACTGGCAGCGACGAAGCACAGGAGCTCTTCGATGAAATGCCGTACCGGGACGTCGCCACGTGGACGGCCCTGATGGACGCGTACGCGCGCGCCGGCCTTCTCCGCCATTCGCGCCGCGTGTTCGCGGAGATGCCCGTACGGAACGTCTTCTCCTGGACCGTGCTCATCGTGGCCGTTGCGCGGGGCGGGATCGACGGTGGCCCGCGAGTCGAGGAATCGCTATCTCTCTTTGACAGGATGCCTGCCAGGAATCTGGTCGCGTGGAACGCCACAATCGCGGCATTTGGGGAATATGCGTCGCATCTGTCGGGCGCGTGGAGCATCTTCGTTTCCATACCCGCCCGCGATGCCGCCACGTGGAACTCCCTGGTCCGTGGGTTTGGGCATTCCGGGGAGATCGCGCGCGCCGAGGAGATTCTCTCCAAGATGCCCCACCACGGCCTCGTCGCGTGGAACTCGATGCTTGTAGCATATGCCCACTCCGGGCATCTTGAAAAGGCATGCTTGCTTTTTGGCGCCATGCCGGTCAGGGATCGATTCTCGTGGTCGGCGGCTCTAAGCTGGGATTACCGGCGCTTTTGGGAAATGGGCCTCGAGGGAATCGAACCCGACCCGGTGTGTGTGACGAGCTTGCTAGCTTCGCTCAAGGACGCTGGAGATTTACAAAGTTCTAGAGATTGGTTTGTGAGAATACTCCCGGACTTTGGAATCCAATTGACAAAGGATCACTTCTACTGCATCGCGGATGGTTTGGCAAAGTCTGGAGAGCTGAGTTTTGCGATCGAGTTTCTTGCGGGAGTCCCGTTTGATCCGGATGTTATAGCTTGGACCACCATTCTTAGCTCCTGTGTGGAGTTTAGCGATGCTAGCCGTGGAGCTCACGCGGCCGAGCGAGTACTGCGTGACCAACTTGGCAATTCGAAGAACTATGGCGGCGCCGGTGCTTTCATCTCCTTGGCAAACACTTACTCCATGATGGTGAGCTTTGATCCTCCATAACGTTCCATAGCCCTCACGCCCCACAAACTTTGATCCAGGCATGCATTAGTGTCGCATTAAACACAGGGATAATGGGTGCTCTTGATTGACGATCCGATTGTTACATTTTCGATACTCGCGACCTTTCACGATTGATCCAGATGGAATCTGCTGCAAGACGGCATGCTAGATAGATCGACTGTCTCTACGTGTTTAGAAAAGGGTTTTCCAAGGCGGTGGTGCTAAAACAAAGTTGACGCTGTTTGTCAATTGGAGGTTGACAAGACGGATTTTACAAGTTGACAAGACGACAAGCACCGCCATTCTTGACTTGGCATCCAGAAAAAACTACTACCAACTTTCTCTAAGTGTCTTTGTGTGTATGGATTTGCTCGAAGTTAGGTGTGAAATAGATGGAAGCGCGCGCGCGAGCGAGCGAGAGGAGAAATTCTAAGCTCGCCCAATTGAGGACAAGCACAAAGAGGTTCCTTGAGCACGACAAGCACTATGCATACATGTGTATGCAAAGCTTTGCCCATAGTTTAATCCCCGTGGCTGTGCTTTTGTGGCCCTGGTTGACAAATAAATTGCTAAACAAGCCCAGATTCGGAAAAGCCTCAATGTCACACACCATGTTATCGGTCATTGGATTTGTCCTCTTGTCGTAGATCCTCATGTGATTCAAACCATTTAAAAGACCTCGGCACTTTTGTTCAAAGAGCAGTTCTTCCCGAGATCATTTCAGGCATGCGTTGAATTTACCCAGCTTGGATATGGTCTCATTCTTTCAAATCATCATCGAGTTGGTAAACTCTCTGTTGATAGCTAAAAGGAACCCATCCAAATGATGCATCTGTTGTGTACTTTTTGCCTCTAGATTTTTCTTTGTAATTTCAAAGTTGAGTGATCTGGAATCCAGGAAAGTTTATGTATAAATTAAATGCCCAATGCGCGGTGATATTTACTCCGAAGAACAAAGGTTTGTTTATTTTACGTACTCAGGCTGCACGAAAGTGGTGTCGTGGAAATCTCAATTCTGGCACTCACCCAAAAAGGGATTTCAAAATCTGTAAATAGGGAACGAAACGGGCCCGAGATCCAACCAAGTTGAACATGTCAAGCCCAATTACATTGCTGTGTGGTGCATGAAAACATGGCTGGATCTCCCTGCCAACGCCAATCTAGCTGCGTGCTAGCTGCATAAACAAATGCCCACGAAAACAAATCCCCTAGCAAACGACGCAAACAACAACATCCCAGCAGCACCAGCAACAACAAGGAAGCCCGAAAAGTCCTTCTCAATCATTGTTTCCTTGATTTTATATACAGCAGGCCGATCATCGATCATTCTCGTGCAACACCAGTGCCACCACCTCCACCTCCTCCACCACCTTTCTTTTGCCACCACCGCCACCACCACCCACACAATTCTCATCAAGCCCAGCAGTTATGCTAGTTTACAAATAAATAATTGACCTGTCATTCCAACTTCCAGTTCCTCTTTCTCTCTCTCTCTTTCGCTCTCTCTCTCTCTCTCTCTCTCTCCCTTTTGTTGCTTTCGGCTGTGCTTCTGCTTAACACTCAATCCATTCCATCCCACTTTCTCCTCCAGTGCATCCATAGAGTGGGGTTATAAGAACAAACGTCTTCTCTTCCAAAGGGCTCTTTTGTCTTTGTAGTTGTTTCTTTGCCTTGTTGATCAAACTATTCTTTTGAAAGCTCTTCAGTGGGACGGATCTTCTAACGCTTTGATCTTCCTCTCCAAAGCTTTTGTGGATTGGAGTTCTTTTCATTCAGCTGCATTGTTTTGTTGTTGAGAGGTGGCCTCTCCTCCGGGCTTGAGGCGGCTATAAAAACTTCTTTCCTAGCTTTCTTTTTGGCCAGAAGTTTGGTAGTTCCAGCCCATCTGAATTTGTATATTTGAGAGGGAAGACTAGGAGAGATTTCTTGAGATCTCTGGATCCCATCACTCCTTTTGGATCATCTATAAATTTTAGGAGATGAGCATTGGTGATGATGTTACTCTGGCCAATGCATCACCGCATCAGTTGTTGAATCATCTTTTCAAAGACCACTGATCAGTCCGAGAGACACTGGAGCAGCTCTAGAAACTCCTTCCAAGTCAAGCTCCCAAAAAAGCGAAGTCTCCCCTTTCCAAAAATTCTCCCTTGTCTTGTGAGAGTTCTCCAAAACTTTGATTGCTGTTTGGTGATGCTGATTAGCAGCACTACTCCTTCCTTGCTCTGTGTTGAATCATCTTTAGTCTCTCCCGGAATTTTCCAAGAGTTTGCAGTTGCAAGCTTTCAAGAGCAGGCAAGCCATCAAGATCAAGAGAGCTGCATTGCTCAAAGCATGCCTCCACATTGTGCCATAGATTCAGAGGAGTGGTGGAGAAATCTTTTCAGTCACAAGCAACTGCTTCACCACCTTGAGAACCTGAAGAAGAATGAGCTTTTTCCTCAAGCAAAACATCAAAATCATCAAAAAAGAGAAGAAAACAAGGAGCAATCTCATCAAACAAGAGAAGAAGGCCAGGATCAAAGTTCTCTAAGAGCCTCTAGAGGAGAAGAAAGCGATCAAAGAGAAGAGACGTGCCACCAAGATCACAAACGAGGAGTGGAAGAATTCAGGCTCTCCATAAATCCATGCTGCCACCCTCCAAGAACACCAAGAACACCATATACCTGGGTGGAAGGAGCGATAATCGTTGGCGCTGGCCCATCGGGCATGGCAACCGCGGCATGCCTCCAGCAGCTGGGGATCACATCCTCGATCTTGCTCGAGAAGAGCGACTGCATCGCATCGCTGTGGCAAGAGCGGACCTACGATCGCCTCCGCCTCCATCTCCCCAAGAAATTCTGCGAGCTCCCACTGGCGCCATTCCCATCCCACTTCCCAATCTATCCCGCCAAGCAGCAATTCCTGGATTACCTCCACGACTACGCGCGCCGCTTCCACATCCGGCCGCGATTCGGCGAGATCGTCCAGTCGGCGCGATTCGATCAGCGCCTCCAGCTCTGGCGCGTCCAGACGATGAAGATCAATAACCCTGATCTTGGAAATATTTCCAGCGAAGGAAATCTTTCCACCATGGAATACGTGGGCCGATGGATCGTCGTCGCCACGGGCGAGAATGCGGAGGCGCGGATCCCCGTGGAGATCCCGGGCATGGATCTCTTCGCCGGGAAGATCCGGCACTCGAGCGTCTACAAGAGCGGCGCGCGATTTGCCGGCCAGCGCGTTCTCGTGGTCGGGGCGGGCAATTCCGGCATGGAAATCGCCATGGATCTCGTGCAACACGATGCCAGGCCGTCGATTGTGGTGCGCAGCCCGGTAAGCATCGCGATTCCTCGCGAGAGATCGCGAATTCTTTCCATCCGGGGGCCCGGGCTAAAATGTTTTGCGTGGTTCTTGTTCTTGCCAGATTCACATCCTTCCGCGAGAGATGCTAGGCAAATCCACATTTGGTGTCTCGGTGGCGATGCTCAAGTTCCTGCCGCTGTGGCTCACGGATCGATTGCTGCTGCTCTACGCGCTCCTGGCGCTGGGCGATACATCGCGCTATGGGATCCGGCGCCCTAAAACAGGGCCTCTGGAGATGAAGGAGAAGATGGGCAAGACGCCAGTCCTGGACGTGGGAACCTTGGCTCACATCAAGCAAGGCAACATCAAGGTAACGCCATAGCTCTGTTTTCTTGGAGAATTTGTTCTCTTCTCTTGTTTCCATTGATTGGATTGGTGGTTGCTTGCGATGTTTGATCTTCCTCTTTGTTTTGATTCAATTCTTTGGAAGTTGGATCGATCGATTCTAGCAAAATTCGAGCGATCCAACGTCCAAAGAAGTGACAACAATGGGGAACTTTGCTACTCTTTTAGCTTTTGCTCATAGCATGATCTCTCAAACATCTTCTTTCTTTCTCTCCTCTTGTCACAGGTAGAACCGGCGATTGAGTGTTTTACGGCCTCTGGTTGCAAATTCGTGAATGGAGAGCAGCATTGTTACGATGCAATCGTCTTGGCGACTGGTTACAAGCCAAATGTTCCCAAATGGCTCAAGGTAAGCTCGCTAGATTTCTCTAAATCTTCTATAGTGGATCCAATTAATGTGGGTGCTTTGTTCTTCCAGGATCCTCACCTAAACTTTTCCAGCGATGGATTCCCCAGTTGCGGGTGGCGAGGCCAGCGGGGATTATATGTGGCTGGACTGTCCAGAAAAGGGATTTTGGGGGTCTCCAAGGATGCGCGACTCATCGCGCAAGACATATTCCAATCATATACCTCCTCTCAAATCAAACAACAACAACAGCAACGCAAGCAAAGATTCCAATGATAAAAGAAAAAGAAAAAAAAGAAAAGAAAGAAAACCACAGTTTTGGTAAAGAGAGTAAAAAGCTCCGAAGTCGTCATTCAATGTTAAGTGAGCTCATGATCCATTAACAGAGACCAGGAGAGAGTTGCAAAACCTTTCATTTTGGGCTTTATGATATGCTAGACAACCTTGTACATTTTGTGCAAATTTTGTCTCTAAAAGCGGAAAATAATGAGAAAAAGAGAGGAAAAGAAATCTAAAATATAGAAAAATATTCCTGCCAGTGTAGTGCGTGGAAAGGCATCCTGCTTCCACGGATCCATCAGCATGTGTGTTCTCCGGCAGGAATCAAATTGCCAAAAAGGAATTTGGGGGAATTGATATGATTCCTTCCACATAGATCACAAAAGTGATGATGGAGGATCTCGGAATCCTGGCGCACTGCACTATAGCCAGTTGAAAGATTCCCCCACGCAAAAAAGGTGGTAGGGTTTCCAAGCGTAGAAATGGGGGAATATCTTCTCTGCCCCTCGAATTTAGGGTTTAAGCGAGCTTTGAGGTTGTGTGGCGCCCAGGCCATGGCGCTGGCGCTGTCGTCGGCTCCCACATTTTGCCACCGCGTGCTGGCGCTCAGGAGCGGGCATGCGAGGCGCGGCATCGGCCAGGTAGCGATCGATTCTCGCTCTTCCCGGAAGCGATCGGCGCCAATTGTAGCAGCGGTGCAAATCGGCGGCGTCACGCTCACTCGCGAAGGTAAGACTGTGATGGAATATCGAGGAAACGCTCGCATTTCTTTTATTTTTTGTTCTTCCAGAGGTTGTGAGGCAGGACGATCCCACAAACAATGTGCCCGACTCGGTTTTTTCAAAGATTGGACTCCAGCTCCATAGAAGGCCCGATCATCCTCTGGGGATCCTGAAGAACGAAATCTACAGCTTCTTCGACGAGAAATTCCCTGCCGGGCTGTTTCGGAAATTCGATGACTTGAGTCCAGTGGTTTCCGTCAAATCTGTGAGTGCTGTCGAACGTAAATCTTTTCTTCTTGGCTCTTTGGCTCGACTTTGTCTCCTTTTTTTTTTCTAGAACTTTGATGATGTTCTAGTGCCTCCCGATCACATAAGCAGAAGCTACAACGATACGTACTATGTCGATGGAAATACAGTTTTGCGGTGTCATACGAGTGCGCACCAAGCGCAAATGCTTCGAGATGGCCTCACGCACTTCCTCGTCACCGGAGATGTATACAGAAGAGATGCTATCGACGCGACACACTATCCAGTTTTCCACCAGGCAAGTTCGCTTTTTCTTTTTCCTTGCGTCCTGCGTTTACAGTAAGTTATCTTCGCTTCTTTTGGCAGATGGAAGGCTTTCGTGTTTTTAGTGAGTCGGAATGGAAAGACACGGGTTTGGATGGTACAGATTTAGCTGTAAAGGATCTGAAAGAAACTCTCGAGGGTCTTGCCAAACGACTCTTTGGTAAGCTTTGGTAAGCCTCGATGAAATCATGACTTGTGCATCAATCTGTTTATGCTGTAATGGCAGGGAACGTAGAGATGCGATGGATAGACACGTACTTCCCATTCACCAATCCGTCTTTTGAGCTGGAAATATTCTTCAAGGTGTCTATTCTTTCTACCTTTTCGTTTCTTTCCATTAGGTGCTCAATCAAATGTGTGGATGGGACAGGAAAAATGGCTCGAGGTTCTAGGCTGCGGAGTCACCGAGCAAGAAATCTTGAAAAGCAATGGACAAAGTGGTAAAGTTGCGTGGGCATTTGGTCTGGGCCTCGAGCGCCTCGCCATGGTTCTCTTTGATATACCGGACATCCGACTCTTTTGGACGTCAGATCCTCGCTTCACTGCTCAAGTAATTAACCTCTTCTAACATTTTGCGCAGTTTACATCTCTCCGAAATTTCTGGATGCAGTTCAAAGCCGGGCAACTTGGAACGAAGTTTAAGCCTTTTTCAAAGGTACGCCATACGCGCTCGCTTCTTCTAACTTTCGTTCTGGTTTGGCAGTATCCTCCCTGTTACAAGGACATAAGCTTCTGGATTACCGATGCTTTCACGGAGAACAACCTGTGCGAGCTCGTCAGAGATGTCGCTGGTGACATTGCCGAAGAAGTGAGCCTCATCGACCAGTTTACAAACAAGAAGGGGATTTCCAGCCACTGCTATCGAATAACTTACCGATCCATGGAGCGCTCTCTGACGGATGAGGAAGTAAATGCCATTCAGGTAAAGCCACGAAGCTCCAAGTTTTCTTGCTAAATTTTAAGTTGTTCTCCTCTCCAAGGACAAAGTGAGGGAGGAAGTCGCAAAGCAGCTGCAAGTTACGCTGAGATAATTGTAAGTAATGGAGTAGTTTCTTTCCAGGTAATAATTTTTGTCAAGGTAGTCTCTTTTCATCTTTGCACAGCTTTTGGAAATGAATCAAGCTGACCAAAATTTATACATTTCATAGCGCAGATAGCACAGGCCATTCTCCTCGCATATCTGTGCTCCTAATGCAAGGGGTGCAACTTCGTCCAGCCGAAGCTTCAAGTGGTTCAAGCAGATATCTACACACTCGTTGATCTCAAAGCCGGTGTAGCAAATGGTTTGGCCATAGATTCTTTCAGACACATTGGTTGTTTTGCTGGGCTTCCCCATCAAGAGCTGCGAGTAAAGGGACTCCAGATCCGCAGCAAATTCACTGTGTTCTTCTGCCGTTCCTGGATTGCGAGCAACAGCGCCTGATGAAACTCCACCTGCAGGACAGACAGGAACAATCTTCACGGAGGATGAGCTTGCCAAAGTGGAGATGATCAACAGAGCAATCATAATTGCTTTGGACACCACAACATAGACAGGGTTTTGCCATGGATCGAGCTTCGTGGACATCGTCACGGACTTCCCAAAGATAATACTAAAACTATCAGCTTGAGAGATGATAGATTTTGGAGACTATTTCCTAAGTTTGTTTGGCTAATCAGAATTTCCTTTCAGCTGAAAAGAATATCTTTAAGCATATTTGCTTACTTAGAGTTTTCTTAGATGCAAAGCTCCGATCGAGGAAAGTGTTTCTTAGCGTGTCTTTACGACAGATTGAGGATGGATCCAACAGTCCTACCGCAGTGCATATGTACTTTACGTTAATAGTATAGCCAGTAAAAATAATAACATTGAAGTCACAAAGCATACTAAAATAATGGAATAGTTCTCTTCCCTTTTGTTAGTACTTTTTACATCTTTGAACAGCTTTGGAAGTGAATAAAGGTGACCAAAATGTATACATTTCATAGCAGAGATAGCACGCGCGCGCCATTCCCCTCGCAAATCTGTGCTCCTAATGCAAGGGGTAACTTTGTCTAGCCGACAAGCAGATACCTACACCCAAAGTTGGTGTAGCAACTGGTTTGGCATAGATTCTTTCGGACACATTGGTCTTTTGCTGGTATTCGTGATATCGATGTCAAAACAGCTCATCCTCCGCGCAGATTGTTTCTGTCTGGAGTTTCCCAAGCTTTTTTTGCTCGCAAGCCAAGAAGAGCAGATGAACACGGTGAATTTCCTGTGGATCTGAAATCTCTACTCGCTGCTCTTGTCAGCTTAACATGTGTTATTGCTTCGTCACTGAGTGTACGCAAGCATCCATGGAGTCCGTCCATGGAGCCTCCATAGATAACAGTATTGAAAAGATATTCTGGTGTTTTCCAAAGCTTTTCATCACCCCATTCTCTCTTGTACAATCCTGCCTTCTTCTAAGCCGACTTTAATGGCTATGGTGGATGCCTTTATGCCCCAAGAGCGTCCTCGAGACCAAGGAGGTGGAGCCTTACAACCTGGATAAATCGGTAATTCTTTCCTTACAATGTAAAATACTCCAACACGTGTTCCACAAAGGTGAAAACGATTATGGAACTCACTTTTGGAATCTGTCGAGCTCTTCGGAGAAGCATTTTCGAGCTGTGCCATTTGAGAAAAAATAACTGTGTAAGATTCACCATAGATCTTTGCTGACACATTGGTCGATTGCTGGCGGCCACCCCAATAGAGAGACTTGAGATCTGCAGGAAATTCCCCCGTGTTCATCTGCTTTTTCTGGATTGCGAACAAAAGACCGCAGGGAACTGTATCTGAGCTTTCTGCTTAACTCTGCTAGAGTGGAGATGATTAACAGCACAATCATAAGTGATGCTTGATGAAGCAGAGATGATCACTAGAGCTGATGAGCGAGTTTTATCATTATAATCCAGCTTCGTGCACATCATCACGCATACAGAAAGAAAGTTATTTTCGGCAAGGCCAAAATATATTCCATTCGATCTTGTCTTGTAGGTGGAGTTCCTCCAGGCTCTTTTTCTCGCAAACCAAGAACAGCAGATATGAATTTCCTGCGTACATCAAGGCTCTCTACGCACTTCTCTTGAATGGGGAGCCCAACAAAAGGACCAACGTGTCTGCAGTTATTTATGGCCAAACCATTTGCCACACCCTGTCACAGCAGATTGTCAAGATTTTTTCGGTGGATCTCGATCAGCAGCTTTAATTTGGTGAATCAACGATTTCTTGCCAGATGATCCAGAAAAAGGAAGAGTGTACACCTCTGGGATGATTACATAATTTCAATCAAGCTTTGCCACGACATGAGGTTTATAAACGTTCAACTAGATCAAGTTCACCACTTGCATTAGTGTGATATCTTTGTTATGAAATAACTATTTTGTCTAAACCCTAGACAACTAAAAGATAAATAAAAGCTGTCCATGGAGAATTTGACAAAAATCTATAATGACAAGATTCTCAATGTAGATGAAGTGAAAGGAGATCATTTTATGTGTTTTAAGCTGTGGCTTTTTTACATAGTCATCAATTATAACTTCCTTTCAGCTGATTATAACTTCCTTTCAGCTGAAAAGATTATCTCTCAGGGCGGTTAGAGTTTTCAGAGGAATGACACGTCCGCTGCCGCAGCTCCGTTTCAGGCAATCTTCTTGTGGAGAGCGCGATTGATCTTCTTCTTCTCCTTCTTAGTGACCGAAGATGAATAAGAATCTGCTCACCGAGAGAGCGCTTCGCGATGTCTTCGAGATCACGAGTTACATCACAGTGGGCACCGAAGACAATCCATTCGAATATGGACACCGGCCTCGTAAGTTGCAAGGATTTCTTGCTCGCAGCTCAAGCTGCTCGCTTCAATTTGCTCTTTTGTGTGCAGCGCTGCCGTCTCAGCTCACTGGCAAGCAATTTATGACCAATCCTGGAAAGCACGGAAAGACCATCGATGTCTACTTCCAGAAAGAGCACCCTTGGGTCTCCGATGTAAGGAGGATATCCAGAAACCAGCCTAGTGATTGAAAAGACTTGCCTTGTTGATCCCCGCAGGGAGACCCATACGCTGATCGGATCATGTACGCCGAGCTCCAGCCTGAAAGATACAAAGGTTTCTTAACGTCAGACTTTTCCAAGAGAGATGAGTTTAGCAATGTCGTGCGAACGAACCAGTATCGGGAGCAGCTCAAGGTACGTGGAGCGTGAGGAAAACGCTTGAGGCTTGTTTGTCTTCTGCCTGCACAGATGGACTACAAGCACTCGGTTAAATCGCTGGAAACCATGGCGAAGAAAATGAAAAAGCTAGAAAAGGATGCGACCAAATCCGAGAGAAAACCCACACGGGTACGGCAGAAGATTTGTTGCATCTGGAGAGAGTGACCAGCTCGTTTACTATATGGCAGTTCGAAGGACCCAAGTACTTGTACGATGTTGGAAAACCAGGCTTGTCAATTACTCCCTTCTGTTCCAAATGCCATCACGAGACATACTACTGCCAACACAGAGCGGCCTATTGCTGCAACAATCCCAGCATTGAAAAGGTTGAAGTTTTCAATCGAAATAAAAGTTCTGACCTTGTGGAAGTCTTTGCGTGATCAGGAAAGTGGTGGCTATCGAACTGCCAATGATGAGATCGGAAGAACAGCAAAGACATTCAACTACGCTAAGCCACAATTTGCCAATAAGCCCGTCATCAAGGACACCTTCTACAGAAGACAAAACATCTTCTATCCTGCGAGGACAAGGACGAATTTCTGTAATCAAGTTCTCGTCGAGGAGGAGTAAAACACAAGCTTACCATGTACAGAGTGAAACAAAACTGTTCTATCCAGCATCTGGTCAAACTTCCAAAAAAATAAAAAAAACTCTCAGCTTCGCAAAAAAATTCATGCATGTCATACCATGGCTTCGTTACAATGACCATGAAAAAAGACCTTGGGGTCGAATGGCTGGTAGAACCTCAGGAGTTTCGACCTGAAACGAAAAATGAAAAGTGATACGAGGATGGAGCAATTTTACCTCGCACAAGGCTTTAAAGAGAGCTTTCACTGTGCTGTGAGGGTGACGAGACCCAATCACCTGACAAAACAAAAGCTGCCATCGGCTTATTCCGTGGTAAGGACGTACCTTGGACTTCATGTCCTTGAATCCTGCCAAGAACAGTATATCCCCAACAACATCGCTTGCAACTAGGCCGACCCCCTTGTCAGCAGGCCACAACTTCACCTGTGATCAATTACATCACTACCAACGAAGAAAAAAAAAGAAAAAAAGAAAACACCATACGTACGTGTGTCGCTCCAAACTTGCTTCTTTGGCTGTGATAAATGGTCCGGTTCATGTAGATGTCAAAGAAGTGAAGGTTTCTTAGCGATCTCCTGTAAGCCTGGAAAAAGAGAGAAAAAAGTTGTAGCAAAAGAAGTAAAAAGAATCACCTTGTCAACAGCGTAGCCAACATCCGAGGCTTTACCCTTGCCATAGCCGGCGATCCCTTCATAGTTGCCACACACCACAAAGGCCGTGAAGCTTTGGATCCCACCAGCCTGTTCTAAAGACCATAAGAACTCCAAAAAACCAACAATGTAGGTACCTTTGTCACTCTAAACGTCCGGTTCACATCCACCACTCTCATATCGAATTGCTGGAAGAACAAAGAAACGCTCACAATCTATGCTCTCAATCCAGGAAATCTTACCCATTTCATCGGAGGAAGAGGCTCTTGCTGCCGAGAACGTTGATTCGCAGCCCTTCCCAGTAGCTGCTCACGCTGCTTGTTAGACATCCCAAACTTGTCCGCATTTCCAGCCCGGAGCTCCTCATCGTCCTCCTTCTCATACGCATCGTCGAATTCCTGCTTGGTGGCATAGAATCGCGGCCCCAGACCTGCGAGAAAGAGGGAAATCTAAGCGGATAGCACGGAGAAATCCATCAGCTACGCACTGAATCGCAGCTGTGCGAGCCTGTGAATGCCGCTCCTGATCGACAGCCGCGTCGCCGCCATTGAAGGGGGCGAGCTCTGGCACAAACCCTAGAATACCAAATGGAGGGAATATTCGCTACCATATCATAGCTGTTAAGAGAGGAGAGGATGGCTCAAGCGCGAGGGCTGGGGACGAAGAAGAAGAAGATCCGTCAGTGGCAGCGCTGCCGGTGATCTTGGCGGCGCTGATCGGTGCGTGGCAGGAGCGCGTGGCGGAATTGCTGGGGTTAGGGGGAGGAGGCGGCGGCGATGGCGCGGGTGAGCGCGCGAGACAGGAACATTTTCGGCCTCGTCGATGGCCGCAGCATCGATTCGCAAGAGGTATGGATGAGGTCTGGGGTAGGAAACGGCGGTCGAGCAGCGATATTTCGTGATTTCCTCGCGCGATCGGTGACTTCTAGCTGGATTAGGTTCTTTGGTGATGAATTTTTCTTGTTTTTGGCTCTTCCCAGGTGCCGTATCCATACCAGGAGCACAATCCAATGCGAGCGCTCCAAATGCATCCAGCTCTTTTAGCTCGCTTGCAACGCGAAAAGGCCCTCGAGGTGATAGTAGATGGAAGATACTTTGCAGGAATTTAAAGATTTTTGTTCTTCACAGGGTCACAATGGATGTGTGAATTCTTTGGCGTGGAACACGACTGGTTCCTTGTTACTCTCGGGCTCTGATGACACAAGGGTACAGTCTTTCATTCTTTCTTCCTTTTGCTTTCTTCTGTTTTTATGACCGACTTATTCTTAGGTGAATGTTTGGGACTATAACACACGGAAGCTCCTACAAAGTGTTGATTCCGGTCACATCGCCAACATTTTTTGCACAAAGTTCTTACCGGCTAGCGGGGACGACATTGTTGTGTCTGGAGCCGGTGATTCGGAGGTGAGAAAAATGAATCTTTGTTGTTTGCTTTTAACTTCAACTAGATTCTGGGTGCCTAGGTGAGGATACACAGACGGAGTCGTGTGGCTGCTACTGGAAGCAGTGAGCCATTTGGACTCTTCCGTTGTCATTCCAAGCGCGTGAAGAAACTGGCTGTAAGCTATTTTTGGTGGCAGCAAGCGGTTTGATGTTGTCCGAAAGTGCAGGTTGAAGAAGGAAATCCACACTTAATCTGGAGTGCCAGTGAAGATGGTACTCTTAGGCAACACGACTTACGCCAGTCCGTGACGTGCGGAGCGGAGCAGGAATGCCGTAATATTCTCGTAAGTTGTTCTTGCATCGAAAGCTTCGCATCTGAAGCGTTTTCATGTTTAGCTCGATTTAAGAAATGGAGCGAAAAAAACCCTGTCTGATCCTCCCAAAGGATCTTTTGCTCTGAAGTCATGCTCTATAAATCCGACCCGTCCGCATCAAATTCTCATTGGTGGCAGGTACTTGTTGACATTCTGGGTGATTGTATCTCACTTTTGTTTTTTTTTACTCCAGCGATTCATTTGCCCGTCTGTACGATAGAAGGATGCTTCCGCCACTGACTCCATCTGGCCAGCAATCTAAACCACCAGCATGCGTTTGCTATTACTGTCCAATGCATCTTTCTGATGTGAGTACTGAAAGCCTTGCGATGCACATATTTGTAAACCCCCTTTTTTCATGCAGCGTGCCAGTTTGCACCTTACACATGTTACGTTCAGCCCTGATGGCGGCGAGGTACTTTTGAGCTACAGCGGAGAACACGTCTACTTGTTAGATGCGTACAATGGTATGCAACTATTTACGAAGGGTGGCCTAGTGTTTTGGTGTCTCTTTTCCAGGGAATGATGCTAGCGTTGTCTATGCTGCCGGTGATGTTCCGAGAAGGACTGCCTTAGTCCCTATCGTGAATGGTCAACAGTATAAAGTACCCTCAACACAAGAAGTGCCTTCAGGCAATAAAAGAGTTCTTCTTCGGGTTAAAGCATTCCATTTTTTTTTCTTTCTGTCACTGATTCCGGCATCACCGTTGTAGGAATGCAAGGAGCTCTTGGAAGAGGCACGGAGAGCCTTAGAAGAAGGAAATTCATTCTGTGCGATTGAAACGACAAGTGAAGTTCTTGAAACTACTGGAGTTGTCCTAGAACCACAGCTTCGGCATGATTTGCTGTGCCTTCGCGCCGGAGCTTTTGTGAAGGTATAAGTTTTCTCACTGTTTGATGATCGAGATTGAATCGTGGTTTCAGAGAGGATGGAAAAACGACATGCATATGGCTGTTCGCGATAGCAATGCAGCTCGACTTATTGATCCCATGTCAGTAGTGGCTCATCACAGAATGGCCGAGGCACTTTCTCAGGTTCGAAAATACTGAGCGTCGCTTTCCAAACTTATGATTCGGGACTATTAGTTAGGGAGACATAAGGAAGCGTGGGAGTTCGCAACGAGAGCTCACCATCTCGATCCTGAAGATGGTACTCTTTCCGATCATGTGACGCAGCTGCATGCGAAGCTTGTTGCTGGTAAGACACTTTTAAATGCTCGGTTCTCATGGTTTCGATTCATTTATTTTATTTTAGCCGAGCAAGCTCGGAACGTCTGGAATAACGAAGAAACAAAACCGGAGAGACGCCCTTCAAGGATTCAATCCTTGAGAGAATTTTTATTTAGACAGGAACAAGATCACAGTGATTCTTCAGACGAAAGCAGGAGAGCAGAAAGATATGACTCTGATCTTGAAGAAGAGGACATGGAGATGGAGATCGAGATGTCCGTCACTGAGGACAATGATCGAGACCGAGAAAGCGGAGCCCCTAGTAGTTTGAACTTAAGAGTTCGAAGAAAATGTGATGGTGTTCGAGAGAAGCAGGCAAATACGGTGGCTTTAGGAGCACCAGAACTACAAGTAAGTAAATCTAGTTCTTTTTGAGATTGTGACAAGCTTTTACTTTTCCGGAAGACGGACATTGCTATGGACATGCGGCAGCGATACGTGGGGCATTGCAACACCGGAACAGACATCAAGCAGGCGAGCTTTCTCGGAGAAAGAGGTTCGAAGGTTTTTCTGGGATCAGAATAGTTCTCAAAACTTGATTGCCAGGGAAATTCGTTGCGAGCGGTAGTGACGATGGCCTGTGGTTTATCTGGGAGAAAGAAACTGGAAGATTTGTAACGATGCTAGCCGGAGACGATAGCGGTCGGTTTGTGAAGCTTTTCGTCTTTTTCTTTCGGTTAGTTATCACATATAGTTTTGGATGCAGTTGTAAATTGTATACAGTGCCATCCTCATGATTGCTTGGTGGCAACGAGCGGCATTGACAACACTATTAAGGTGGCTTTGTTCTCCTTTTCATTTGAGAGCCAACTGAATGAGTTTTTATGCAGCTCTGGTCACCCAGTTCTAATACTGAAGCTCGGCGTGCCAAAGGAGCCGACTCTGACGCTCTTCGCATCATGGCCGACAACCAACAACAGATGCGCCGCCATCGTGAGATTGGATTGTAAGTCCCTGGCTCTCTCCATTCTTTAGCGATTTGCTTTCTTGTGTGTTTTTTCGTCCTTGGGCCCAACTTAACTTTGGTTCCAGCTCACTCGTTTCATGCATTACTAACAAGAACTGAGTGCCTCGGTCGTTTGTTTCGCTCCTCGCTGTTTTTTTCTTAACATTTTTGGATCGATTGGCTTGAACAGCTTGCTGATTACTCAATGGTGGAGTGCCAGGCGGTTCGAATTTATGCCAGAGAATGGACACCTCGGTGGTGCTGAAACCGGATCTAATCCCCCGACTGAGTGCTGGGATTCATTCCATCCTTGCCTCTCTTTTTTTCTTGTTCTTGTGCTCTGGTTATGGTGGTCTTTCTCGTCGTTTTGGTTTCTTCCTTTCTTTTTCTTTCATCGATGTCCTTACGTTCTTTCATTGTGTACTAACTCGTGCTTGTGTGTTGTGTATTTGTCTTCTTTTGGAACAGGCCAATAGAACTTCTCCAGCGGATTAGAGGAGTAGAAGCCGCTGTTCATCCGTTCGAGTGTACACAAAGCTAGTGACAAGAAAGAGCTAGAGGTTTGTTCGATTGATCTTTCTTCTTACCTTGGTTTTCTCTCCTCCAAGTTTTCTAGTTCTTTCTCAGCACAGTGCTTGCAGCTAGGCAAAAAACGAGATTTGTAAATAAACGGGCAAGTTAAAATGGCGCGAGTTTTTTCTTCCTGGAATGGAAACAAATATTTCCTAAATAGAATGGATGGATGGATGTGAATGAATGGACGGCTGGGATGTATGGGTGTAATGGACGGATGAGATGGATGTGGAGCCGCTGACGTCATCAACTTAGGGCACACGTATGTATGCCGCCTCGTGGGAGGCATGGCACATGCGATGGTCACATGGCCATTGAATTTGCGCCATGGTCCATGCCATGCCCATAGATGAATGGATGGATACATTCATAACGAGCTTCTCTCTGCGAGGAGCGTTTGAAAAAATAGTATCGTGGGCGCCTTCTCTTCTCTAGGTCTTGGCGAATCCGAGCGCTGAGAGAATTACCTCGCCGCGCGCCCCATGGATTTAGGATCGCGGCAGCATTTCCAGACGCAGCCGCCAGCGTCGTCGTCGTCGCCACCGCCACAGCCGCCGCCAGCGGAGGAGCAGCAGCACCATGGATTGGTGGACATGGAATCGATCTGGACGGAGGATTCAGCTGCCATGGCTGCTGCTGCTGCCGATGCCGCGGGCGTCGTCGTCGACGATGCGTTCCAGATGCCTCATTTCCTGCTCCCTCCTCCCAATCTCCCTCACAATTTCGCGCAAAGCTGCCTCGCCAATCCCGCGCAGGTGATGACCGAGGAGCAGCTTGAGACGCTGCGGCGCCAGATTTCGGTCTACGCCACGATCTGCCAGCAGCTCGTGGAGATGCACAAGGCAACGATCTCACACCAGCACACATACAATGGTAAGAACTCTCTCCCTTCTCTCTTCCCTCTCGATCATATTCTTTCTCGGTCGCGGAAATCTCGCTAGATAATTTGAAACATTCGCCGCGTGTGCTCCTGATCAGGCTTGCTTCTCGGCCACCAATCTCCTGCCATCCAGGACTCGTCTCCAATGCTCCTGGGAATCCACCACAAGCCAACGTCGCGGCAAAGATGGACACCATCGCAGAACCAGCTGAGGATCCTCGAGAGGCTCTTCAAGCAGGGCAATGGGACGCCAAACCGGCAAAGGATCAAGGAGATCACGAGCGAGCTGAGCCAGCACGGCCAAATCTCCGAGACCAATGTCTACAACTGGTTCCAGAACCGGAAGGCTCGAGCAAAGAGGAAGCAACGACACAACAATGCGACCCCCTCCACGACCACCACCTCCTCGCAGCACAAGGACGCCGAATCGGAAGTGGAGACCGATGGAGATCACTCGCCGGAAGAAAAGAGGAGCAAAGTAAGCTCGTCCACGCCGCAGCAGCAGCTCCAGATGGATCAAAGCAACACCACCACCGAAGCGATTGGTAAGTTTTCATCGATCGTTTTTCTCGGTTCCCAGGCACTCTCTGATTTTTTTCGTTTGATTCTCCAGGAACTCGCTACGCGGTCGTCATGCTCAATGGAAAGGCCTGGAAAGTAAAACCAGGGAGAATCAACGTAAGGAGTAACTTTGGAGACAATGCCGTGCTGCTAGATCCGAGAGGTCATGTGGTGGCCACGAGCGAGCAAGGCTTGACTTTAGATCCTCTACAACCTGGTGGAAGCTACACGGTTGCTGTGTGAATAAATTACAACAAAGAACCATAAACAAGAGCATTGATGTTTGATCTCATGGCTTTGCCAACTTTTCACGTCTTGGGTGTTCTTCGACTTGCATTAACTTCGTGGTATTTAATGGAACAGCGCATGCATGCAGAGTCTTCGCGGGATCCGACAGCAAACGATCAAGCAAAGTCCAACTTCATGCTTACGTGTCCAAAATTCTCTTTGTTCCCGCAAGTCAAAGCTCTACTTTTCTTTAGTTCTTGTTCTGCCTTGTCCAGGTGTTCATAGATCTCCTCACTGGTTAAATTGATTTCCAATGTTTTGTCACTGGTGAGATCCTAGAGAGGAGGAACAAAAACCTCGCGGCTGACTGATTCTCAAAAATTTTAAAGCAAATCCACCGGTTTGCATTTACAAACCAATGATTCTCTGGAATTTCTGTATCTGATTTAAGAATATCCAAGTCATCTGCAAGTAGCAAGGCCAATTAAACACTAGAAAAAAGAAGGAAACAAAGATTGTATCTGTACCATAACGTGAGGAGCAATCCGAATGCAGTATGTCCCAAAGCCAGTGTAGAACTTCAAAGGCCCATAAGTTTTCAGCGTCTTGACAGCGCAGTCAACTGAGCCCGAGTACGGGTATTTGCCGTCCGGGCCGGGCTGCATCTTTTGGATTTGAGTCTTGACGTAATCGAAAGGGAGGCTGCATGCCGACGCAAAGAAGCCCGACACAGCACTGGCACCTGCGAGACACACGATATGTCTTCGATTAGCTCACGAAGTTCAAAGAGAGAGCACCGCAGCAGACAAGCAAGGGGACAAGTATTTAAGCTTACCAGCTTGAAGAGCAAGAAAAACCAGCCACACAAAGAGGAGGAGGAGCTCTCAAGTCTGAAGAGAGAAACGAGAAAGAACGAAACTGAAGCTTACACAGAACCACAAAAGCGAAAGAAAGTATAGATAGGAAGAAATGAGCTCATCGACGGAATACAAAGAAGGAACTTGTAGAAAGAGGAAACTTTGACGCAAAACTACAAAGAAAAAACTAGAGAGCTTACCAACAACAGTTTGGACCTCGGAGAAATTGAGCGTGTCCTTGAAGAACTCCACGGACTGATCGTAAGACGCCAGCATTCCCATGTTGAGAGCCATGGCACGAACAACAGTCGGGCCAGCTCCCTTCCACAGTGCCAAAACTCCCTCGTCGTGAGCGATTCGAGAGAGAGCGTGCAGCGCATGCTGGTAATTCCTTCGCTGATTTGGGGGCAGCACGGCATCGGCTTGCATGCGAATGAGTGCCAAGTCTGCGGGACTTCCAACGGAGGCACCGATCGCTCCCGCAGTGAGACCGCAAAAGGCCTTTTGGTAGAGCGGGAGCGGCTTTCCATCGTTGGCTTGAGTGGCTTTCGCGGTCAGCAGCCTTCACACGCAGAGAGCAAAGCCAAGTCTGAAGTCAAGGAGACAAATAAAATAGAGGTTTTAGAGTAAACAATTCTCGATTTGTACCTGAAAGATCCGAGACGAGCGGTGGTGTAAGTTGCTTGACGCAGCAATCCAGCAGTGAGACCCTGGAACAAAGAAAAGAATAAAATTGGAGCTTCAGCCAAGAGAAAAACGTCTAAGGACTGCATGGAAGAAAATTAGAAGAAGGAAGGCTTCATAGAAGAAAACATAGAACTTCAAACAATCGAGAGAAAAAATTCGATGACACTCCTCGAAATGAAAATGCCGGAGCTCGAGTGCAAGGATGGAAATATGGAGTACCTTGTACAGAGAGAAGAATCCCTCGTTCTTGATCACTTGTTTGGCGACCTGGAACGCTCCTCCTTGCCCTAGCTGGATCCGGACCTGGCACACCGCAAAATCCAGTCGAATCGAAATATTTCGGGACGGATATGCGATCTGCGCACCTTGATCATGTCAATGGGCTGGATCACAGCCGTAGCGCACATCCCCGCGGTGCCGCCATTCACAAAGGGCTTGATCACACTCCATACCGTCGGACACCTCTTCACCTTGTCGTCCACGGCCATGGTCGATGTCACGGCCATTCTTCGTCGAATGCGCCGGAGAATCGCCGCAACATGGACTAGCACAAGCGCGGCGCATTCCTCGTCGGCGCCCCCATTCCATGGGACGGTTTAAATTGCCCTAGAAAAATACCGTTAAACTGCTACGTGGCAAGAACGAGCCACTAGCTGCCTTCCACGTGTAAACCATCGCCAGTTATGCGTGTCCACATGGCAAGTTTTAGTTTTAGGGTTCCTCGGCGTCGTCCATGAAGGAACGCTCGGACGATGCGGTAGGGAAGATCGAGAATCGATCGCACAGCATGGTGATGGAATGGCAGAGCGCGGCGGTGGCCGGATCGGGAGGAGGAGGGGGTGCATTGAATATGGGGAGGGCGGCAGCGCTCCAAAACTACAATCTGGAGCTGGTTCATCGTAGGTGAAATCGATGTTTTTTGATCGATCGGCTGTGTTCTTGGTCTCTTGTTCTTCTTCTCCAGGGATCGAGGAGCTGAGGGAGAAGCGCGATGAGATCAAGAGGATAATGCAGCTGGAGGAGGAGGAGAAGGCGGTGATCCAGAAGGATCTGGCGGCTCTCAGCAAGCGCCTAGCGGAACTGGAGGATAGCCTCTCCCGGAAGTACGCCTACTCGAGCGAGTATGACAAGACTATCCGCGAGGTGGAATCCGCTTACGCGAAGGTATGTCACGCTCGATTCGAATTCGTCTCTCTTTCCTCGTCCTTCGAACAACTCCATACCGATCGATCAATCTCAATCACAAATCTCCATTGAACTTGATCACAAATTGTCCATATCTCGCAGATTTTGGAGAGCTCCAAGGCTCTACTTCACGTCCTCAAGACAGAGCCCATGAATCCTTCCATGGATCTTCTCAAGAAGCCCTGATTTGAGGAGGACTTGTAAGAAATTCAAATCTGCTTTGGCGCTATTTCTTGATCACCAAGTAATTTCGATTAGAAGCTCTGTAAGGATGTATACTTAACATTTTCTAAGGATGTTTGACTGTCCTTGATTAATTATTAAACTAATTAATCTTAGTCCATATAAACTACATAGGCATGGCCGCGACGAGTTTCATCGAGATGCGGTGGCGCCTATGGACGTTATCAATGATTTGTTAGAGGTTTGGCTGATTGTTCACAGGATGCGGGTTGCTCTGGTTTGGTATGGTAAGAAGACGGGGAAGACTACCGATGAGATAATGCTCTTAGGATGCAAACCGCACTCGAGTTGCCGGCTGACAGCATTGGGATCTCATAACATATGAGCGTATCCTCACTAAGACTGGCAGTGCTCCAGCTATGACGAAGGCTTTTACTTATGATCCTCTCGAAAGTTGTTTGGCCCCAGAAAACCAGCTCAAAGTTGACGCATCTTGATAAAGCGGTTGTTACTGATTACCTGAGGTGTTTATTGGTGAAAGTCGAGGGAGGCTTTTCTTTTGGCCAGGCTTGGGAGCTACAACTGGTTCATGGCGTTTATGGCGATGGCGGAAGCAGTTGTTCTCCTGGAGCACAACACTAAAAACACAAAAAACAATAAAGGCTGAAACAAATAAGAGAGGATGCCAATCTTTAAATTGCCATATAATTTTATTTTCTTTGCCTTTCCCAATCTAACTCGTCTATATAATTACCCTCAAAATAATAAAATTCTTTTTCATCTTAAATCTTTTTAGACACAGCTTATGGTAGTTTTTATTTACTGTAGAGTTTCTGATCCAAATCATACTCATCAAACATGACCTCCAAGTGGATTCCTTCTGCTTTTCATCCACATCGTCCAGAATCTTCAATGTCGTCAACATCCAAGCCTTACTTAGATCAATCGCCATCTCCCCAAATGGAATGGAGAGCATTTCCTGTCGTCCATCATGAACACTCTCCACAACATTGTATCAATGGGTAACGTTTGATTGAAACTGGCACGAAGTCCAAGTCGTCAGACTGAGCTAGTGTTGCAATTCGTGGCTCCCAAGTCATTGTCTTGTAATCCAAGAAGGACCCGAGAAACGTTTTGGCAGCTCGTTTTCTATTCCATCACACATCTCCATCTCCCAGCCAAAATTCTTCTTGGGCAAACCATACAACACTCTCTCAGTATAATAATCATTGTCGTTGCTACTGAGGTTGCAGAGCATTGCACGCCACAGCTTGGAGATGCTATATCTGTAGGAAGTACAATACTTTCTTCTTTTAGCATGTTGATCTTGTTCTCAATGTATTATTAAGTTAAATGTTCCTTATTTTCCCCAAAATTATATAGATTTTTTAGAGTGTGTATATCATAGAGAATTTTGTTTGTATGTTATTGGTGGAATCTTTGATCATTTTTTATGTTAAGTAAGGATTAAATTACTTTTGCAAAAGTTTAAAATTGATTATATTTCCTATATGATAATGAATTTTTGTTTTATTGTTGTTGTTAAAGAGGAGAGTTTTCAGAGTTTCTTTTTTATTTTCACATTGCAAGTGTTGAGTTTGATGTTAAGGAGGTTGAACTTCTGGACTATTTCATTTTGGTAGAAGTATTTTGTAATAAGATATTCTTGATTATCCAAATTTTTTACTTAAGTAGAGTCTTTTATAACATAAGTTCCTTTGTTATCCAAATATCTTTTGCTTTTTCAATTTTTGGCTTAATAGCTACTGAAAATTCCTTTTCTATGTTTTCTTTTTTTATGTTGTTTTTTCATCAATTTTTCTTTACTTTCTCCTTGTTCATATAATGCATGTGGTTTTTACGTTTTATCCTATGATAATTTACTATAGGATAACCATGAAGTAAAACCTAAACTCTTTATGTGCCACATGTTATATACCATGTGTTATATGCCACATGTTTAAAAACAATAAAGTAAAACTTGAGTTTCATGGCCTTGGGCCACTAAATGAAAGAACAAAGTTAAACTCCTAAACTTATAGCCAAAGAATGAAGGAATTAGAGTATGGAGCAACTCTTGAGTGTTCAACCCAAGGAGCGAAGGGACAAAAACAAAGAATGATGTAAGAACAATTTTAGAGCTTTTAACATCCCAATGCTAAAACT